TTCTCTCCACGGTGAACCACGGCCCGTCGCCCAAAACGCTAGTCTAGAAGAAGCATTCATGAGCGACAAAGAACCGGCGAGAATCCTCAGTATTGACATGGGCATTCGAAATTTAGCATTTGCTCACTTGCTAGTTCCTCCACGCCAGGCTGGGGTGTTGAGCTCTCCTATTTTAAATGCGTGGTGTCGCTTATCTGTTTCTTCGCTTGCATCGAATTCAGTTTTGGACTTTCACATGGGTGAGGAAATGAAACCTAAAGGCAAGATCGCTAAAGGGAGCAAAACGAAAGCACTCAACATACTTGGCGCTGGACAGTACGATAGAATTGTGTTGCAAAACGAGCAGGAGAAAGAATCCTTTGCTCCCAAACTCTACGCCGCACATGCATACACCCTCATGTCATCTCTTCTCGCAACATATAAACCAACACACATCCTTATTGAAAGGCAGCGGTTTAGATCTGGTGGAGGTAGTGCGGTCCAGGAATGGACCATTCGAGTCGGCGTTTTCGAAGGAATGCTTTACGCAGTTCTTCGTGCAATACAACAGGAGCGGAAAGGCGACGTAGCCAACATTGTCATCCAAGGCGTGGAACCTCAACGGATAATGAAATACTGGATGGGTGATGAAGAAGATCTCTCCCCGGAACCGAAAGCCAAAAGGACAGCGGCCCCATCAACGAAACATATATCCCAATCGATGTCTCCGAATAGGCGCAAGCAAATCAAAATAGATCTCATTGGCAGACTGCTCTCCTCGTGTACTGGATCACACGTCAGCGGCACACAGCCAGCCAACTTGGGTGACCATATTAGTATACAGTTCAGCACCGACCGTCAGGTGAATGAGGTAGTCAATGCCTACTTAAAGAAATGGGGAAAGAAAACGAGAAAAGCAAGTATTATGAAAAAGGGGGGCTTTATCATTCCAATTTCTTCTTCTTCTTCTTCTTCTTCTTCTTCTTCTTCTTCTTCTTCTAATATGCCCCCCCACACTGGAGCGGATGGCTCTCAAACACTTGAAATTGGAAAACTTGACGACCTCGCTGATTGCTTGTTACAAGCTATGACATGGTTAGAGTGGCAGAATACACGGCAAACAATCTCTCGTTACGGGCTTGAAGCAGTCTCATCAAAGGTAGGAGGTTGATTCGGGTTGATTTGATACCTGCAACAATCGAATACAGCTCTTTTACAATTTAGCCTATCATCCAACTGTTGACGCAGTGTGACTATGTCCGTATCTTAATCTTGGTCGGAATCACAACAACAAAATAAGGGGAAAAAAAAATTACTTAGATGTATGTTCTTTGGTCATATCATTTTTGGGTAATACCACCCTTTGATTTGATTCTATATTTAGCATATTTTGAATGCATTAAGGAGCGTAGCCATCTCCCCCCCACTCTCTTCCTCTCTGTGTGCGTGTATTATCCAACCTCGAAAACCAACAATGCCTGCTGCTACTGTTTTTGTTACCATAAACTTAAAGGGGGCAGACTATGATGGTCCGTGAGAGATAACAAGCTAAGCTAAAGAAAGGTACATGGCTCAAAGGTAGCAGGTTTTCTAATTTTGCAATTGGTAGAAGATGGATTGTTGACCCATGATCAAATCCCCTGCTGCCGTTTCCTATTAAATCGGAAGAATAAAGAGTAGTCGCGGCCCATCATATATATATAATATATAATCGTTGCTGGCTAAGACTGGGAAAGGGATTCAAGGGGTTTGATTGCGCGAGAAGCAAGTTCAAGAAACTCCTTTGACTGAAGCCCAGCGTGTAGTTTTTTTTTTTTTTTTTTTTTTTTTTCCCTTGACGCCAGCTCCTATAATCCGGAACTCCTGCCTGCCTCCTCGAAGTCCCACGCCCCCCGTAACCGTAACCCAGATGTCTTGTGAGAAAAACGAAAGTAGGGGGAGAAAAAAAAAAACAAATCTCAACAGCAAACAGCAGTATTTTCCTCGTTATGAAGAGTTTTGTCTCTGCGCAGACCAGTCCACACTGGGTGTCCTATCCTGCCCTTGAGGCTTTAAGGGCTTGTGAAGCCCCACTCAAGTCATCAAGGATTTTTTTTTTTTTTTTTTTTTTTTGGAGTAAGTTTCAAGCAGCGCTGTGCTACAGAACGGGATTTCAATAGCCATAGCCTCTGGAGGGCATCGGACGCGCGCTTCTCAAGTACCCAGAAGCACCAGTAAGTTGGGCCTGTGGACCGGTAGGGTAGGGAGCACCTGGGCGAGTGGTCGATGTATCATTGTTATGTGGAATTCGCGTGACTATCACCGACATAGGAGGCGCACTAACGGACTGAAGTTTTTGTCAGAAAAAAAAAAAAAAAAATAGTGCTAAAGAGTCGATAAAGAATCATACCAGAAAGACGGTTTCCTTCAGGGTAACCGTTAAAATACTAGTGTGAGGGCATCCGGAGACTGAAAGTCCACCTGGGCCCTCCTGGGCTTCCTGGGCTTCCTGGGCTTCCTGGGCTTCCTGGGCTTCCTGGGCTTCCTGGGCTTCCTGGGCTTCCTGGGCTTCCTGGGCTTCCTGGGCTTCCTGGGCTTCCTGGGCTTCCTGGGCTTCCCGGGCTTCCTGGACTTCCTGGGCTTCCTGGGCTTCCTGGGCTTCCTGGGCTTCCTGGGCTTCCCGGGCTTCCTGGACTTCCTGGGCTTCCTGGACCTACTGTCATTGGCACAGTCATAGTCGTAGTACTTGTCCAAGTTGTTGACAAATTAATGTATTCAGGGTCAGGAGTCTAGAATATCTAAGTCAGTACGGGTGATTTCTGTTTCTTGAAGTGCAGAGACATACCGGAGTTGGACCAATGGTTGAAGTTCGCGTGATACTGGAGGTCCGAGTTCTATTTCCGAGATTGTAAGTCACTGTAACTGTCAACTTGGTGGTGTTTAACGGTACAGCCGGAATGGTGAGGGGTCCACCTGTGGTCAAAGCAGGCTTGAGGACTTGTGACATGGAGATGTTCTTCCTTGCGGCAGCTGTAGTGGTCAACGGGCCGATGTATCCACTAGCCGGTGGAGTGTAACTAGTTGGAACGCTGGTTGAGGACCCAGATGTGGAGTTGTCGCTGAAGGACATGGGTAGAATGGGTGGTTGGCTTGATGAATATACCAAGCTAGATGATTCGTTTTTGCCATTGGACTGAGCCGGATAATCACGGTAGCCAAATTCGTTCAAAGGATGAGCCTCAGTTAAAGCCGCCGCAGTTACAGCAACAGCGATGGATAACTTGCGGATGAAATCCATGTTGAAGATGACTTGGCAATCAATGCCACTGAAAATAAACTCCAAAATTCGATTGGAAAGCGAGAGACCCCTCTTTAATGTTCTTCCTATCCACGAAAGAACAATATAGGTATCGCAATCAAGTCAATGAAATGACCGCGAAATCTATTCGCGAGGGCCAGCTTATAACGAATGACTTGAATTGGAAGAATGGAAAACGACCTAGTCGCGAAGGTTTATAAACGAATGTAGAACAGAGAAATTCGAAAACAACGTGAAAACAAAACATTGAAAAGTTGAAAAAAAAAAAAAAAAAGGAGAGGAGGTGGAGGATAAAAAAGTAAAAGCTCGAGAGAGCAGGAAAGTCAAAAAGAGGTCTCAGGTATTGTTTTGATTCCAGGAAGTGGGACAATGTTTCGGCCGCTCGACAAGCGGAGCATTCCTATCAGTAATCCGTACTCTTCTTCCACGTTACTTGCCCAAGGGGCCAAACTCCAACTCAACCCATGCTGGATGAGACGTAAACTCATTTCCAGACCCAGTTTTGGGAGATACAACGGGGATCCATTCGACAGCACGGCCCGCAGGTGGCAAATGCCTCTGATTCGTTGAATTATCCCACTCTTCATGAAATATTACTCATGAGTGATAGGGATTTGCACGTTCCAGTCTCTGACTCTGTGTACACTGTGGGGTCCGGAACGGCGAACCTCATATAGGAAGATCTAGAGAGTGCGGTCGGGCATCTAAAGTAAAGTTAATATTTAATTGCAGGGACCACACAAGAGAGAGAGGGGCCCATTGGTTCTCGAGCTCAACGGACTTTGGTGTTGGTGTTTGACAGCGAAACTACTATACGATAAATTCCCTCTGGATGGCCGCTCTCTCTCGCCTCGTGGGGCTCCAAAACCAAAGGCGAGAAAAAGGAAAGTAGAGAGAGTGTGAGTGAGAGCAAAGTAAAGGTTGTGATCATGTTCCGGCACGGTCCTGCAGTTAATCGAACCGTTGTACGTTGACGTGGATCGATGATGTTCCAACCAAAACAGTGCGGTATGAAGCATTGGGCGTCGGAATATCTGAAACTCGAATACAGTTTCCATAAACAGCACCAGTTCCACTATGAGCTCCATAGATCTCAGCAGGGACGCTGTATCACAATTGGTGCGAATTGATGAAACAAAAGGTTCCCTGGGAATGTTCGTTTCTTGCTGGGACACGGCCCAGCATGTTGGGGATTTTATACTTCGGTGCCCCTGACTAGTCAGCCTCGCCAATCACAGCGTCGAGATTTGCCGCAGCGGTGACATCATCGCCATCATGCAAGTTATTAGAAGGAGTTTCAATGCGCAGAGTTATCTTTTGTAGCCGGTATTGTCTAAAGGCAATGGAGCCCAATGAAGCAGTGACGAGCAACCCGTAACACTTGGGTAACTATTTATTTATTTCTTTCTTTATTTCTTTATTATTTATGTAGTAACTGATCCTCGCTTTGTTCCGGATGATGTTTGGACGCGAGAAATTCGCGGTAGGAATGCCACCGGCTCGGCCTGAGCAACAACCAGCTTTGTTTCAAAAAATGAACGCGGCTTGCTGTGGAGCAATTCTCCTCCAAAATCTGCCCTGCGTTTGCTTCTGCGTTGTGCCCGCCTATAACTAGTAATACCAGTTACACATCGCGATGCGCGTGGTGTGGACCACTGAATTTTGTAAGGCGTGTTGGTGGGCGTTTGTCTGTGATGGTGATGGACAGCGAACCAGCCAACCGCTTGTACTGGACCTACTGGAGCACGTTCTGGATCCATGAAAAACGGGATATCTAGATCACGTTTGCGGCGCTCAATCCGGCATACCAATATTTCGTCCCCCTTATACAGTCGTGCTCTCCAATTCAAAGTCCTTGCTTGACGTTATTACTCACAGTATCCAGGTTGCGCCAGAAGCATGCAACGAATTCGTCTGCCATTTTTCAAAAACTGATTTCTCGAACCATGGGCCTGACCTCCGTCATCGCATGGGACCCTCGCCTCCATGCATAGCCAAGCCTTGGGAGGTTTAATATATCCAGGCGAAAATTTCCTGACCCACGGCATTTCCCACTTGAATTGGAATTAAAAATACGATACTACCAGACATGGTCCTACATGTACTCTACATAATTGCTCGAACGGCATGAGGATATAATATTGCCATTGTTCAACAAGCCCAGTTAATATTTCTCATATAAAGCTCCAAAGGGACATTTGATCTCTATATATCACGTAGGGGGTTGCTGGTGGTTTGTTTACTAACGTATATGCGAACCGTGCTATCATACGACAGACAAAGGAGAAATAACAACATCTACGAGTAGATTGAAATTAAATGATTCGGACAAAATACTATCTCTCCGCTTTTCCCTAAACAAAACAAGAACAGATGGCTCTTGAAATAATGCGCGTTACGATATTTTATTCCCTCGTTTCCAACATGCATACTGAATGAGTATGTCCGCCATTTCTTTACTGGAGTCGAGTCTCTCCCGGGTTATTAGATATTATCCATAAATTCCAGCAGCACGTGGCGTCCCCAATCCAGTTCTAGCGATTCTATCCGCCCGAACTCGTTGGTTATTGCAGGATGCATAGAGCCGGCGACAATAGTCGCCGCTCAATAGGTCATACCTGCTGAATGGCGAAATTTTGAGTGGCCTGACGCATGAAAAATATTGCCAATTACGTCACATGGAATGTTGAAGTAGATCACGACGTCGCGCATGAGCTTGGTGACCTCCAATGCTCACCCACGCCGCACAAGATGCCCCAACCATCATAAGAAAGACTAGTAGGAATAGAAATCTATGCCGGAGAAGTGGCCGTTGTAACCCAGCATCAGGCCAGGGCCCCTAGCTAAGCAATAGCGATTCCATAAATATTTAGAGATTGAATTGTGAGGACTAATTCAGATTGTATGAAGTAATTTGATGAACTTGATATAGACAAGCAATTGAGAAGCGAAATACCGTCAGAGGAAGGAACTCCACTTAATTCCTCGGGAAGGTAGGTAGTATTGCAAACCAGCAAGCCAAATAAGCTTCGGAACTGATATTCGAATTCATCCGCGCTTCAGCAATTGTCCTAGCATGGCGCAAGCGCAATAAAACCAAGTTGAGCAACGCTATTGAGGAGGCTGACGAGGCTGGCAAGTCCATGACAGGGCCGGCAGCGTTCGAGCTAGAATTGCGCGATTAGCCAACCTATAGCACCCAACTGTGGATGTTACTACAAGTCGTTCTCATGTCCAAGCCACAAAACCAGACTTTTCCAGTGGGGATACATTGTGCATGAGTGAGGGAGTCACTATTCTGGTCGTTGTTCTCGAGTCACGTTTCTAGGCAACGCACAGATTCCCTAGTGTCAGAAAACAGTGCAGCTATGTGCCTTTACTGTTACACTTGCGGCATGCTGCTTCAGAGCCATTTTACCGCGCCAATACTTGAAATGCAAAGATCTTTGTCTGGGGAATGATGGTGAGGCCATTCGTTGATAACAGGTGCGATTGATGAACTTGATATCAGCTGTCCAGTTGTGCGGCAAAAAGTAGGGGTTCAAGCAGATATACGGTGCAAGCAAAATCAACGGCTGTATAACGATTAAATAAGGCGCCAAATGAAATGGGTAAAATTGGACTTTCACCACTAGCCTGGAGGTTAAAGGAGAATCCACACAAATTACCAGAGTTAAGTCTATAATTTTCATTTCATGCCTTGAAGTCCAACAAAAGTAGAAGCGACACACTCAAGTAGGCGAGGTCGGCGAATGAATGGTCTCCCAGGGCGGGTCAGGCGGTTCGAGGCTCAGAACGCGGACCATGGCAAGATGGCTCCTGTTAGACACAAAAGGATGGAAGGAAGAAGGTCCAGATACTCAGGCATCTGCTTCTTCAACGGCAAGTCTGAATATCTGCATAACATCCGGGGACTTAGGCGTGAATAATGCATATACATATATATATCTTGAGGAATAGGTAGCCAGGCTACCTTAAGGCTTAATCCTTTTTTTGCGTAGTGGTAAAGCCTCCCACAAGATTGCATGTTTTATAACCGCAATAATATGACCGCTCTCATCGACTAGCGTATTCCTGGAACCGAGGTGGCCGTTAGAAAATGGAACGCATGATTGTGACCAGGATATTCACGAGTCTTTGGTGTTGACCCAATGGCCAAGCGGGTCGGTGCCAATGCTGGAACCGCGCGGCAATTGACGCTGCGTCCGGATTGTGGGGTTCTGGCGGCAAAAGTATGGATTGCATCATTATAATATTTTATTTTCAGCTGAAACGATGCAATAACGATGAAGTTACGGTTTGTCTCTAATCATTTATTTTTGACTTGGGACTTGGGCGAAATATAACATCCACAAGGTTTGTTGTTGAATCCTTTATTTAGTTAAATATGCTAATACTGCCGGGTAAAACGAAAATTACTTGGGCCAACAACTGTTTTAGAATAAAACTCCTGTCTATGACAATCCTCACGGCTACCAGTGCGATTCTTGATTTTCTGTGATAGCATTGACGACCCTTATCTTCCAATGACGACAAAATTTCAAGTTCGATCTCTGCATCACCTGCGGCAGACATATCATGCCTCTGTCCAGAATTTCATCTCATCTTCAGATGTTTTCCACATTCTGGACACAGTGCCCGTAAGCAAACCCCAAGCGGGGCGGCCAGCCAAGTTATATGTGTTAGACTCATCTTTCAACCCCCCAACTCGTGCTCATCTCAGCATTGCCAAATCTGCCCTCCTCCGGCATGACAATACATCATCTGTCAGACTCCTGCTTCTTCTCGCCACGCAGAATGCCGACAAGGCTTCCAAGCCGGCTTCATGTGAGGATCGCCTCGTCATGATGCGGATATTTGCTGAAGACATTCAGTCCGCTCTCGAACAAGTCAGCGTCCACAGTGATAATGTACAGGGAAATCAACAGAGAGCCCCAACTGTGGACATCGGAATAACAAAGTTGCCATATTTCATAGACAAAGCAGCAGCCATATCCACGTCGAACTTCTATCCCGGTTCGCCTGAACAAATCCTACTTACGGGATACGATACACTAGAACGAATCTTTGATTGCAAATACTATCCCCCCGAACATACTCTCCAACCTCTAAGTCAGTTCTTTGCTCAGCATCGACTGAGAGTGACGTTCAGGCCTGATTCTGAGTGGGGCGGTCGAAAGGATCAGGAATTATTCTTGCAGAATCTGGCTCAAGGGGCAAGGGAATCTGATGGAGGCAAGCGAGAATGGGCTCAGCGTATCGAGCTAGTTGAAGGAGCGAAAACTGGAGAAGAAGATATGAGCTCAACGAAAGCTAGAAATGCTGCTGTTAGTAATGACGTCAACGCACTGGAGAAGTTTGTCACACCCGATATCTGCGACTGGGTAGTATCCCAGAGATTGTATGGTAGCTCATGAAGTACGAGGGTTTTCAAATGTAATGATTTACAACACCTAAGCATCCACTGGTACACGTGCAGTCTTTGTGAATTTCTGGCGGGCATCAGCGGCGACGAATTGTCACACCCCTTCTCGGCCAGTGGGGTTATAGCGGTTGTATTTAAACATCGAGGCTAGCTATGACAATGCTTCAACGACCCCTCGATAGACCATGTAATCCGAGAATCGAATGCTCGCATGACCTGCGCTATTACATACAAGTGACGATATAATTAAACGGCTAGCGGATATTATATGAACGATACGAACAGCCCAAGGCCAACGCCCGAACCCGTCAAACAAATGTGTCCAACACATTATGGAGAAGCTGAACCTGCACAAAAAAAGAATTCCATGCTTTACTGTACATACCTATAACACCACCAATGCCATAACTATAAGGTTAATATAGTCGGATATAATACAATAAAATTTCAAAATGCCATCCCGAATAGTTATAATTTCTTCAAATACTTAGTCCTTCACCGTCATCCCCCCTCCTCTTTCCAAGCATATAGACTAGCCCACCACTAACCATGTTAGTAAACCCAAGACCCATAGCAGCACCCCTCACAATCCCTCTAGCTCCCCACTTTTGCATGAACGGTTGTTTCCTTTTCGCAGCCAGGAGCAAATATAAGCCTGACCATGCAGCATTTATGCCGGCGGCATCAACCTTGTAGTCTAGTAGATTGAGGTATGTTGTGAATAAGAGAGCTGGTGGGAATAGCATCGGTAGGGGCTGGAAGGGGCGCATATGCTGGGCTGCGATAAGACACCTGCGAGGAGAGTAGGTGGGAAAGGGTTCTCTAGAA